AAATATTTTTGCAAGCTGTCATAGTGTGCAGATTTAAAAAAAAAATAATTTAATTTATTTTCTAACTTTATTTTCTTATATAAATCTATTTCCTTATACTTCCAATATAAATTTATATTTTAAATATTTATATTTTATAAACATTTATTCATTTAAAATATTAAAAAGGAACACATACCATATATATATATATATATATATATATACATATACATATACACATAGGTTAATTTTAATATTTTATAATATGTATATAATTTTATCAATAAAGGTAAATATCTTCAGATTTAAGTTATAATATGCGATTAAACGACTACACTTGTTATATTTTGTGGAAAAAATTTGAATAAAATGGCGAGAATTAACTCTAAGCTGTATTTTGAGAATAAAATCCTTTTTTTTTTATTAATTAAAGGCATTGTTTCTCAAACTTAAACTTAATAAATTTTAAGAAAAAAGAGTTAGAAAAAAAATATCAAGATCTAGACATTAAATATTGAATAAGCATCTGCCAAATGCATAAATGCCAATTAACATTGCTATATTTCTAGATTAAACTCATTCAGTTTTGAGTTTAAATCGCCTCCAACTGCAGGTTATGTCCGTCTTGATACATAATACACAAAACTAAAACACTAAAGTTTTTATAATCCAGCCATTATGTTAAATAGATGTCAATGTAGTAGATGTAGTGCTGAAGGAAACATACACATCTCTTCATTTCCCCAGTGAGTCTTCTTCTCACCTCGTTCCTCTGATCCTCCATCAGTGTCACTTCAGAATCTCCCGCTGAATGATTAAACACGGATTAATGACGTCCTGATGTGTGTGAGAGAGAGAGAGAGAGAGCTGGTTTCTGCTCCTGTCTGCTGTGTTAATGGAAGACGATCTGATCATTATTGCTGCCGTTCCCCTGATGTTCACACTGACATGTCCCTGAGATAACAGACATGCACTAGAGGATCAGGAGACGGCAGCTCGTAGAAAGCATTCTGATGTCTTCCTGACGTTACCATCGCTCTTTCTCACTCCGTTTTCAGGTCTCTGATTCTTCAGGCTGAGAGTAAGAAGGAATATGAAGAGGTATTTACACGCTTCTGTAAAGATGCTTTGCAAAATACACTCTTAACTCTACTCTCTTGATTATAGACTGATTTATACTACATTATAACTACATTGTTTCTGTGCACTTCTTTCATCTTTCTCCACAGTGGATTTGCACCCTCAACAACATTTCCAGACAGATTTATCTAACCGACAATCCTGAGGTATGGCTGTCTGTCTTATTTATCTGTCTTAAAGAGTGCTTTCTATTACCTACTCAGATTATAGCAATTATACCATGGTAAACAAATATGCTAGCAATATATATTTTATAATCAAATATATAATGTTAGCACTGAGGGAATAACTTGGCAAAATCCTAACAACTGGAAGGTAAATGAATATGCAAATAATAATTTAGAATGAATTATTAATAGCTTTTTAATTAAATGAAGGCTAAATGTATGTAAAAAAAGAAGAGAAAAAATTGCAATAAAAATTACAATTATCTATTTATTATGTTATAT